TTCCATGTTTACAGCACATGTAATTGTTGTTTCAATCGAAGTCACGCCCACCCTGAATAAACCGACTCCCTCTGAAAACCGACCATAGATCCCAGTCCCATTCATGGTCGGTTTTGACAGGTTTTACTGTATATCTGTCTATCTATGACATGATGTATAATGAAGATTTAAAATTTGAACATAATCAGTGAAAGCAAGTCAGAGATATGGCAGGAGAACCACATTCATTAAAACAAAATGGCCGCCAGTCGGCCATTTTGAATCTTATCTGAAAAACAAAATTATTTGCATCAAGGTCCCATAATGTCTAATGTATATACCAAGTTTGAACAAAATCAATCTGTAAACAGCCGAGAAATGGTTGATTTTTAGGATTTTTTAGCACAAAAATGGCCGCCATTTGGCCATCTTGAATCAGATCGTAAAACAAAATGATGTGCATCAAGGTTCTATAATGTCTAATGTAATGTATATACCAAGTTTGAACAAAATCCATCTGTAAACGGCCGAGAAATGCTTGATTTTGATGATTTTTAGCACAAAAATGGCCGCCATTCAGCCACCTTGAATCAGATTGTGTAACAAATTGACATGCATATGTATAATATCATGTATTATGTATGTGTGAAGTTTGATTGTGATTGGTCCAGGGATTTCTAAGATACAGGTCCAGACGCACGCACACACGCACGGACACACGGAGGTCAAAACATAAGTCCCCGTTTTCGGACTGCGTCCGAACGGGGACTAAAAAGGTTAAACGCCATGAATGCTAAAGTCAGCATTGGTCACTTCTCATTCACCTAAACCTGTATATGTTTTTCAATATAAATTATTTTTAAAATCTGTGGCCAATAAAAATTTTAAAATCTGTGGCCAATAAAAAAATCTGACAATTAGGATTAAGATGAAAAAAAAATTAGACAAAAAATTATTTATTATATTTTTCTGCACTCCTACCATTAATTAATATAGGTTGAAATTTGGAAAACGTTTCACAAAAATAACACAAGAGGGCACTCAAAAGTTTAAAGAGGGCGCTGTTTAGGAAGAAAACTAGTCAACCATGAGTCACGTTGCGAGAGGACATTGTTGCTTGTAATATATTAATTATTAAATACGTGCTCTATATATAAAAACACTCCAGGTTTCCATTTCCTGCTAAATGGGAAACGATAACAATTGATTACGAGAAAGGTTGGAAATTAAAAAAATAACACGACGTTTACCCAACACGGCTTTCACAGAAGGCCTCAACTTTGGCCACACATTCTTGAACATTGCAGTAACCAAGGTTTTTCCCAGCCAATCAGCGAATAGCACCTCATGGAAGACAAATGGAGATGATGCAGCCGCTTCGGTCAGAACAACAATGACATGCTTGGCTGTTGCAACGTGGGGGCCGTTGACTTGTAGAAACTCGTCTTTTGACTGACCCAGCTTCTCATGTGACAGTACCTGCAATGCATTATGGGTGAAATTAGTTGTCAGTCAAGAATAAGTACAGTCTATATATGTAAAAATTACCTGTCTATAGTGACCACACATTTAGGCAGTCCCAAGGCATAACGTATGATCAACCTGTGTATAAAAACCATCTGGCTTATGAGACAATACGTTCAGCATTATCTTTGTAGTTTAGCCTTGCAATTTGGTTCAGGGACCAAAATAATAATTAGCATTCTGTTTATAACAGAATTTTGCATTCCTGAAAAGCCATACTAATCAACTCAAATTGTTCCAACAAGTACTATTTTATGTATTATATAAATGTACAAGTTGATGATCCATTAAAAAATAAAGTCTATATAAAGACCATTTTGAATAAGTCCCTTGAATGGTAGCTATACGCAGGTTTGACTGTTACAACATAATGTTAATATTAAAATATTATTATTATGATAAATTATGGAATATTAATTTTTTGAAGATTGTACAAATTTCATATTCAACGTTCCATAATTATGTAGCATGTGTGGAGAAGGAGAGATGGTGAATGTAATGCCATAACAATAGTCGCAGAAGGTGACTACACAGAGGTCAATGGTTCTTTGATTTAGTAAACCTGTGCAGTAAACAATTCAACTATAAATCCCAAGTAATACTGAGTAAAGCCAGAAGTCACCAATGCATGACATATCTAAGCCGAACTCAGGCGTGACCTCTGTAACGTGTCTAACAATGCAGAATCATTTGGTAGTAGACACTTCCTGGAAACCATAAAACAAACAAATACAACCCACATGCATCAAAAGATGATAATTTAACAGTCACGGCGACGCTAGAAACACTATATCGGTGGAGCCGATCAGCATGCAAAGTTACGGCGGTGTGGTGTTACTAGTAGCATACTTTGCGTCAGGTTTACTGATAAACGTGGAAATAAATGAGGTCAAATTAGCGACTAAAAAACTTTATAGTATACAGCTCATCAAAAAATCAAAGCTGGAGTGGAACAACATGCTATTACTTCAGTACTGGGTAGATATAATTAAATACACAATACCATCGACGTGATATAACTTCGGTAGATATACTTAGCTACGCATTACTGAACATGCAAGTTTTGACAATACTGTAGCTGTGTATGCCCGAATACTATACATATATACACGTACCTATAGCTCAATATTAGTATACTTAATGAACCATAATTTTTCAAGTGCAACTTTTAGTGCAAAGTTTTGAACTAATGATTTCTTTTCAAATTCTGAAGCAAACAGACAGGATTCCCTGTTGCATGCATGTCTGGAGAGCATGCAGTTATGTAGTATTGTCTGCAAAACATTCAATACTACTGCCACTGTTTTCTAAGAGGCAAAAATAATTTCTGGGTCATTGATATTTTTTACCCTAGCAACAGGTGTTACTATGGCATATGAGTATCATAGTGTACATGTAATTATAATGACAATCACAGTATGCTGCATGTTTATTCAGTATTATGACCAAATTGACACTCCAAGGATACCAGAGTATGACATCATAATTTGGTACTGTAAAATGACTAATTTTCACTGGGTTTAAATTTCACTGATTTACCATTTCAGGCATATTCAGTGGGTTTTAAATTCACGGTTTTATCATTTAGATAATGTGTTCTATGCTAAATTTTACATATTCACTGTGTTTTAATTTAGCACATTATTCCAGTCAGCGAAATAAGCTAAATTAAAACCCAGTGAATAATTACCCCTTTTACAGTATTTTGGGGCTTTCGCAAATACATGAACGTAATGTAATGGTAGACATGTATAAAGACACTCTCTTTAATACTAGAAATGTACAAGGGGTATCCAAATTAAAAATATTTTGTATAAACTTGCATTAAGACTGGAAGAGGGCGGTCAATGTAGTATATATCAGCACAATGGTGACATGAAAATTGGTTTTAATTTCTACCAAACCAAAATAAAGTCGGTAGGCTTTAACTGGATTGTAAAAATGCATACACAATGTACATCTAAGGCCAGACTGTTATTATCCCTTGTTTCGCAAACCCACCGAATGAACGTGAGCCAAAAATGAAATAAAAATAAAATTTTATTTCAGCGTAATTTCTCGCGCCCGCCGACTTGCAAAAAAAATATTATTTTTATCTTCATTTTTTTACCGCCTGCCGCATAACAAATCCAAGTTGCATTTTTGTGGGAGTATCATGATCAAAGTACCGAAGTCTCGCTCAGATGAGAAACAAGGTTATACATGGAATAAAATGTTATTTCATTTCTTCTCTCCGATCAATGATCTCACTTACAATTCTTTGAGAATCACACAAATCTAATGGGAAAAAAAGAATTTATTTTATTTTTTTCCGCCCTCCTCAAAAAAATTGCCTTATAAAAACTCGAGAAACAAGAACTAAAAAAAGTCTGGCCTAAGAGAGGATTTTTGTTGAACTTCTACAAGATGTTATGCGTAAAAACATCTGTCATAAAAATCGAATGATTTGATTTTGAACTTGAATTTGTTTTACTATAGTTCAATGTCAAAATACTGATCATGGTGTGGATATTCCCTTTTGTGTTTGTCAAAACTTTATGTTTTACTGCCACTACGACCTGTTTCTCAAGTTTTTTTTTAGTTTTTTATTTACAGCTTATTGTTTAAAAAAGGACAGTGGTCATTGTTTGTTTTTGATAAATGCATTGAATTCCCCACAATCTATACATGCATATTGCACTGTATGTTACTAGTATGTATGTGAGTTTTGATCTGGGTGAAATGAACACAGTGCTTATAGGTTCATGTACTTTAATACATGTATAAAACTTAGCACCATCTACTGTAAAGGGATTAATTATTCACTGGGTTTTAATTTTGCTTATTTCGCTAAATTAAAACCCAGTGAATATGTAAAATTTAGCATAGAACACATTATCTAAATGATAAAACCGTGAATTTAAAACCCACTGAATATGCCTGAAATGGTAAATCAGTGAAATTTAAACAGAGTCAAAAATTAGTCATTTTACAGTATTTTCATATTGGTATGTACCGGTAATCCACACACATGTGTGGCAACGCTCTTTAATAACAAATTTTATAAATATTTGACTGAAAAATAATCATTCAACAGTACTAAATGTCCTGTCCAGGTAAGCCTTCAAATTACAGATGGTCAGTTTTATCAACATAGAAACTCTCTTCTGTATTAAACCTGGAATTACAGTTAATTGTGATATACGAGCGAAGTATACGTTCTCAGGTGCACGTAGAGTTTCTCTTTTCTCACAATGATTCATGCTGACTGTTTCTAAGGAAATGTAGTGTTGGTTGCATAGCAACACATCTGCGTTGCAAATCACAGAGTAAAAAATTGAGCTACTTAATAATCAAACTCGTCTTTTATGGATTAAGAATTGTTTGTTTTAGTCACAAAGGATTTAGTGTTAATTGGGTCATGATGATAAATGGATATTTTCGTTGAAAGGGTTGTGGTCGTCATGCGCGAGTTCAACAATCTTGTAAATAAACAAGGTAATTTACATGCAATGTACATCACTATGGCTCCCATATACACTCCACGGCGTAACGGCCATTAACCTTTATCAATGTTTTAAGCAGCAGAACAATAAAAAAATACAAGTTCATTGTATCATCAACGTCACTGATGTTCACTATAAAAGTTCACTTTGTGAATATATCATTCACCCTGCACTTAACACTAACAGTACAATTGTAAACCAATGTAGCTGCAAAAATCTTCAAGAACTAATCAAGGCCATTAATTGTAGCGTTGCCATGTTCAATGGTATCTCTAATCTCAAGAAAATAGACGCGGTGTTACAAAGGATAAAGGGGCGCCACTACAAGAAAAATTACAGAGTATCTTACACATAGTGAATAGGTAGTCCATTATGTGAGCAATTTCGAAATGTGTTACAGTCAATTCCAAAATAAATCGCTTGGATTAATAACGCTGGGTACACACAAGCGGTGCATGGATAACGAGTCAAAGAGCAAAGTCTATTTAGTTTAAAGTCACAGGGAAAAAAGCCACAGAATAAAAACTGCATCCTACAATCTATGCAATGATCCCTTGCCCAACTACTGGATTGATTGATCAGATGGGTAGGTAATATATTTATAACCAAAACTTGCATAACTACATAATATAATATATTGGGGTAAATAACAAGAAATTGTTAACTTCACCTTGATTCAAGAGTATCATTGTATGACACTAGGATTTTTTTTAGTAAGATGGATAACAATTCACCATAAAGTTAAATACTTTTTAATTATTTTTTGGAAAATTTAAAAAAAAAATCAGCATTATGACCACAAGTGCTCAAATGATGCAATAAGACACCTCACTGCTGTTTCAAAAAATGTTTGAAAAGTTTAAATAAACATTACAGTTTTGCAGAATGTGGAACCAACAACGCTGAACTGTTTATAGTACAATGGCATTCCTTCACCAGCAAACTAAAAGACACACTCAAGACTTTTCAACTCAGAAGACATTTCTCATTTTAAACATCCTTTTCATAATCCCCAGACAAGAAAATTACAATACGAGCGGGTCAAAGCACGCCACTTGAAAGGTCCATTGTAAAGAATACGGCAACAATGGTACATGCAATCGTGCACCCCTACTAAGCAGATAGTTAATAAATTCAGATACGCAGTTTGGGAGACGACTCACCTTATGACCATGTAATAATGACGTGTTGAATTAAAAGCGCAACAGACAATAAAAGTTTACAAGGCACCGTGCCACTTGAAGCCTGGCTTTGTTGTACAAACAACAAATGCCAATCATGTCACTATTAACCGTGTGTGAATGAAAATTTGACGTTTTTGATTTTACCAATCAGCTGAATACTGTAAAATGATTAATTTTCACTGGGTTTAAATTTCACTGATTTAGCATTTCATGCATATTCAGTGGGTTTTAAATTCATGGTTTTATCATTTAGATAATGTGTTCTACACTCAATTTTAAATATTCA